GCCAAGGAGTGCCAAAGATTTCCAGCAAACCACGAGAAGTTAGGAGAGACACCCGGAACAGATTACTCCTCACACCCCTCAGAAGGCGCCAACACTGCTGACATCTTGATCTCAGACTTCCGGCCTCCAGAGCTGAGAGATATTCAATTTCTGTTGTGTGTGCTACTCAATTTGTGGTACGTTGTTATCGTAGCCCCAGCAAAGGAATATACCAAATAGCTGAAGTTAAGTCAGTATCTTCCTTTGATCACTGGGAAGAATCATGGGTGAGCTGCCTGAATCACTGACGATGTCTAGTATCGAGAAGAGAGATCACAAGGAGAAGCCCCCTTTGCAAACCAAGCAGCTAGATTTCCAGGAGCATCCACAGAGAGATGCATCTGATTAGAGGTGGAGGGTCTGCCTGCTCAGCTCAGGTGGATGCTTACAAAATTCTAGTAGACCATGACTACAGGGAGAAAAAAATGCTGATAGTTTGCCCATGAGCAGAAGAGTGAAATTTTAAGGGTAAAGGGACATTTTAGGGGAAGGTCTGTGTTTCAGAGGTAGATTGCCCAAATCCTTATTTACCTCCTGAGTTTGATTTAGATTATAAACTTCTGCACATACAGTGAGACACCTTCCACTTATTTTTTTCCCCAGGCTTTTTTCCCCATCTGATTCAAACATTACAGCGGGTGCTGCGGAAGAGAACAGGCAGAGGATCTCGTGGGAGAGGCCTGGGGCAGACGATCCCCTCTTAAGCTGGCTCTGAAGAGCTGGCCGTACCTCAGGAGAGGCCCCAAGTGCTCTGGCTGTTAAACAGGTCATGTTTCAGAGCCTTGGTGCCTCCCTTTAAAAATGAGTAGCACTTACGTTCACTGTTAAATAGGTCATATTTCAGAGTTTTGGTGTCTTCCTTTAAAAATGACAAGCCCTGGTGACTTCCAGAACAGACTCACTTTCTATAGGATGTTTCGAAACAAAAACATTCCTTGTTTAGGCATCAGATTTCTCGTTAGTCCCTAAAAACTCCATTCCTAGTGGACCTAAGCTTCAACCTCCAGGAGGTTTCACTCCATCAATCAGTCAGCACCCCAACCCAGAACATGGAGAAGGGCCAGGACGCACCGTCTCCTACAGGGCACCCTGACTATGGACTTAAGTAGCAGCTCCACATCTAATGTTTCTACTGCTGATTTTATGTGGGAGTGTGTGCAATTAGAGTTTGAATATATCAAATGGAGTCGTGTGGATTGAACGTCACTCTTGGGGGAATAAGGAAGTTCTACTATTTATTTATTGTATTTCAGGTTAAGGTGAGGGTATAAACAGCTAGGTTACAATATTTGCATTTGTTAAGTAGAGTCCCTCTTACCACTGGAGGGACTGTACCCCAAAGCTATGCCATATACCCTTACAGAAAGCTCTGCTGTTTGACCTCACGCCCCTGTAGATGGTCTTGTGTACCCTTGTGCCATCCTGGAGTCTGTATACACAAGGAGCAGAAACAATGTGCACGCTGTTGACCATATTCACATCTCTGGGGCAGTGTACATTTCTCCAAGGACAGTTTCCTGGAATAGTTATTTATCATAAGAAAAATCTAGGGGATGTATTGACAGAGATTTAGGAAAGTCTGCCAAACAGCATCTATGAGCAAAGATTTTTAGAACAATAATTTTTGCATTTTTCTGTAGAAATTCTGCCTTCATGCTGGGAGGTTCTGCAGAAATTGACATCATTTTACTTCTCCACCCCCACCTTGAGATTGTTCTTGGAGTACTGCACATTGTAGGCTCCCCCCCCCCCGTATGTTATTAAAACTGTCACACTAAAATTATGTTTTCTCTCTTGCTTACTCCATCAGGACTATAGACTCAGCTACATGCTTTTCAAAGAGCTTGAGATTTCTAGTATATTACCACTGCTTCAAATAGCCAAAGAATGCCGCAGCCTCACGGCTTCAGAAATGCAAACTCTACAACACGTTTCTATGCTCTTTTAGTTACTTTTGGGATAATGGAGAACACAGTTTGCCCACAGTAATCAGATGACCTAGTCTAATCCCTTTGGATTATAAAATTAAGCATCAGGACTCGGCGCCTATAGCACAGTGGTTACAGCATCAGCCACATACACCAAGGCTGGTAGGTTTGAACCCAGCCCGGGCTGGCTAAACAATAATGACAACTGCAAAAAAAAAAAAAAAA